CTGCTCAGGTCCCTTCCGACCCTAGAAACTATGAAACTATGATCTGATGGCTGGGGAATTGACTCTGCCGTAGGACACAGAGAGTGGTGGTTGATGAAAGTCACTCATTGTGGTGCGCTGTGACCAGTGGGGTCCTTCAAGGCTCTGTCCTTGGACTTATATTATTCAACATCTTCATTAATGATGTGGACACTGGTATCAGAAGGGGACTGTCCAAGTTCACAGATGACACCAAATTTGGGGGTAAAGCATCCACACCTGAGGACAGGAGAGCAATCCAAGCTGACTTTGATAGGATCAGGAAATGGGTGGGTGAGAACCTGATGGTGTTTAACACCGAAAAATGCAAGGTTCTCCACCTTAGGAAGAAAAACCCACAGCATACTTATAGGCTCGGCAGTGCTACGCTGGCTAGCACTATGGACGAAAGGGACTTGGGGGTCATCATTGACCACAAGATGAAAATGAGCCATTAATGTGATGCAGCAGCTAGTAAAGCAAGCAAAACGCTGGCTTGCATCCATAGATGCTTCTCAAGCAAATCCCAGGACGTCATCCTCCTGCTGTACTTGGCCTTGGTGAGGCCGCAGCTGGAGTACTGCATCCAGTTTTGGGCTCCACAATTCAAAAAGGATGTGGAGAAGCTTGAGAGAGTCCAGAGAAGAGCCACAGGCATGATCAGAGGTCAGGAAAACAGACCTTATGATGAGAGGCTGAAAGCTATGAGGCTCCTCAGCCTGGAAAAGTGCAGGCTCAGGGGTGATCTGGTGGCCACCTATAAGTTTATCAGGGGTGATCACCAGGATCTGGGGGAACATCGGTTCACCAGAGAGCCCCAAGGGATGACATGGTCAAACAGTCACAAACTCCTCCATGACCATTTCAGGCTGGACATAAGAAAGAACTTCTTTACTGTCCGAGCCCCAAGGTCTGGAATAGACTGCTGCCGGAGATGGTTCAAACACCTACTTTGAACACTTTCAAGAGACATTTGGATGTTTATCTTGTTGGGATCCTATGACCTGTGCTGACTTCCTGCTCCTGGGGCAGGAGGCTCAACTCAAAGATCTTCTGAGGTCCCTTCCAGCTCTAATGTCTATGAAATCTATGAAATTATAGTTACTCTGCAGAGCAGCATGGTACTAGAGGTTGGTTTCCCTTGAGGATTGGGTCTGGGGTACTCCTTTTCTATAGGCCTCTCCCATTCTGTGTTATATGCAGCTATTTCCAGAGAGTTTTCCATTGGTCCTCTCTGATCCTCACTTCTTTTTTTTTAGCTTTGATTCACTTCAGGAGGAATGAATGACAAGTTACCTCCCCACTTAGATAAGGACTCTACATATTTTCATGTTAAGTTGTTTATGGAGATACCACTCTATCTTTATGTTAGGAACTGATACCTGAGCATATCTCAAAATACATTTGGATCAACATATGTGGAATTTGTCATAATATTTCTTTTCCTGATACACCTAAATTCCATACTAGATACTCTCTATAAACATAGGTTCTGGACCCCTTATATTTTAATGCTTTAGCTCTCACACTGCAACTGTAACTGGATTCTTTCTTAAGAACCTGCTATTTAATATTCAATATTGCTACAAACTCCCCAAGAGGCTACTGAATTACACTCAGAGAAAACAGGACATATCTACATATAAGACAAAGTTTTGCAAAAATTAAGCTGATTTCTAAATATCACAGATGCTATGTAGAGAGGAAGGAAATATGCAGTTTTAGACTGTAGACTCATGAATTTTACTGGATTTTGAGTTTTTTTAGTATAATTAAATTTCACTAGGAAATATTATGAAAGGATGTTAGGGTGGGTTTATTTAAAACACTAAAGTAAACTTACGACAATCCACTTCATCTTCATTAAGTTGGCAGTCAGGCACACCATCACATCTCAGGAGTGATGGGATACATCCTTGATTATTATTACACAGGAACTCTGTGTCCTTGCAAAGCCATGGAGAAACAGTGGCTGGTATTTCAGTAGAACAATTAATTTCATCTGTTCCATCTATACAGTTTTCTACCCCATTACATTTTACAGCAGGAGACAGACACTGCTGGACATACATGCAGGTGAACTGGTCCCTGTTGCAGGTTGGAGGTTGGGGTCTGGTCGGTCCTAGACGGTTAAATAAAAATAAGGAAAGAAGATTTATGATCTCACTTATTGATGTTGCATGTAATGCTATCTGGATGAATATATGGATTTTTAGGAGGGTGATTGATTTTGTAGTAAAACCCCCAGTTTTTCTTTTTTTAAATTTAAAATGCATTCCCTCCCCTTCCCCAACCATTTCTGACTTGTTCTCTCCCTTTCTATTCCCTATAGATAAGTATAAGTGAGCTAAGACATAGGATAAGCTTCAGCATTTTATTTTGGTAGCAAGTTGTATTTGTTTTCTTTTTTCTCCTTCTTTATATTGTATAATTATTATGTTTATATTGATTTTTTACCATTCCATATTACTATTTTATTAATTCTATATGATTTAGGCCTACATATGTAAGTTAGCATAAGTCATGTCAAGTTTCCATTTTGTTTGTCAAGTCTCTATCCTGTCCCCAGGCCCAGTTGTGTAACCTGTGACTCATACCTACCCCTCCTATGTAACTTGGTTCCTGAATGAATGGGGATGAATGAGGGAGCTTGAGAGACAATGGCACTAGGTCTAAAAATAGCTTCCTCTGAATGACTGAACCATCAACACCAATACCGGGATCAAAAACCCAGCCATTGGAACCACACTCAGCATTCAAGAAACAAAAGATGAGGCAACCTACCATTGTGCCAGGCTGCACATGTTCAGTAAGAACACCTGGAACCCTCTGGAACAGGACTGACATTGCCTGGACAGGCCCTCCCCATAGGAGATCAGAGGTAGTCTGCCTCATAAAAAGGGGTAGTGAAGACTGACTCCTTGGGACGCCCTCTTCATCTGGACCAGCACCATGCCACACCACCTATCCACCCAGAGGCCCTTCCAGTGACCACCCTCTGGACAAGGACCCCTTTCCAGCCTGGATAGGTAGCTATCACCCCCACCCTCTCTTCAACCAAGGACTTGGACTCTGCTTCTCTTCCCTACCTGGA